CTGATTATATTTTTTTCTAAGCATATTTTACCAATAATTATAACTACTATTAATCTTGTATTTAATCACTTATAATCTATATATTATTGTTCACTGGAAGTGAAAAACGTCTTATATTCAGGTGTGCATTATTAAGCAGGTTATCTTCTACACTCTAAACCCAGATTTTGTTTTCGCTTCCAGCCTTCATGAATAATTATATATCAATTATAAATGATTAAATACAAGATTAATAGTAGTTATTAAGATTGATGTCGTTTGGAATTGGTCAAATGTGCTTGGAAAAAAATATGATCAGAATATCAACTTGCATAATAATTATGCATGCACTGTATTTTTCCTCTTCTGCTGTTGAGGTAATGCAATGAATGTTGTGATTGGTTGTCAAGGCAGCCAATCAGAATTTAGCAGCCTCGGTCTCTGATTGGCTGGAATTATGGCACAATGTAACGCTGGGTTGTGTTGAGCTGGGTTGTGTTGAGCTGTTGGCATTTAGCGAACACTGAGAGCGGGCATCAGGTGAGCAAGCTAGTGAAACGTTGCACGCGCAAAAGAGAAGGTCTGCACACATCCAAAAACTTATTTTAAATGCAAAATTGATTGTGTGCTCGAAATACTTTCTTTGTGAGACAACTATTTTCTCCACAAAACTCAGTTGGTGCGCATGCAAAATGCACTTTTGTGCACTCAAAATATGATCTTTCGCGCGCAGAATTGTGGCAGAAATGTAAGCCCATACATAACACCAGGAAATCATCAGAGCGTGCATCGGAGAAGGGTCAAAGCGGTGTAGAATAAAGGTAAATTGTGTGAAAAATAATGCGTTTTTAAAAACGAAGCATTAACACATGTTAGACTGCACCCCAATAAACACAATCAAGCCTAGAAAAAAAAACAGTCAACCACCCCTTTAACAGAACTTTGTGAGATCGCATTAAGCTAAGATTAGCTTGTTAATAATTATAGCATAAAGGGAGCGCTCTTTGCACCATAGCAATGGATGGGACAAAAAATAGACCAAAATAGACATGCATTAAGGTTAGAGCACCCTCAGTATTTTCAGAAGCACCCTCAGTGATTTGATTCTGGAACCGGACCTGCCCCGCTGTTATTAATACAGTATGTCTGTTCCAAGCGGGCGATTATTAACTTCTAATAATTTAACTTCTCAATAATTATGTTATGTAATTTGTGTGCTTAATTCATGAGAGTGGTATATTTAATGTAAATGTTTAAATATAAAGCTTACTTTATCGCTATCATCATACAGTAAAAGAGTGTGTGCAGAGATGCGCAAATAATTACGCCATTTAGCCTGCTGTGTATAAATCCTGATATGTGTCTCACAAGGTTTATAGATCAGGCGCAAACATATTTTGTGTTACATGAATTAATTAAATTATGAAGAATGACTGGAGACGGATTGGAGATGCTTTTACTTTGCGTTATAAGCCTTCTGCATGCTATATATTTTTTTACGGCTTTATAATAAGTGTTGGGGACAGAATCGACTTTGGCAAAAAGTGGTGGGGACACCTGCAAATTACGCCTATGGTTTGAGAGGTGTTTCCACGGGATGTCCAAACAGAACGTAGGTGGGCATTATACAAATGTGCTAACTTGTGAACTTCATAGAAATGGGATTCGAGTTTTAAATGACTCGTTTAAGCGATTCAGAGTCGACTCTTTCTTTTGAGAGACAATAACTTTATTTATGATGCACTCCCAGCTTTACAACTTTGCAGATTGTTTACATTCACATACAGCTACATTACATGAAAAGTAATTTTCAAAAATCCATAATAGGGGCACTGTCATAGAAGACCATAATCTAATCAATCCACAAATGCATTACATTTTCGGAGTGTTTGTTTTCACTAAGTGCAAATATTCTGTCTTGTGGTGAAGGCTGTTTACACAAATAGAACTAGCAAAATAACAGAAGAAATCAGTGGTGTGGAGAGCAAGGAAAGTGAATTTAGCTTTTTTGATCTGCCTTTTTCTAATTTCATCATCTATATAAGGAATGGCTCTATTGCATTGTCATAATTTTGTCTTGAGAAGCGGTGGTGGCGATTGTGATACTTTAAATATCCATGATAAAACCTAAAATTATTGAAACTCAATACATAATATTAAAAGCAGTTTCATGAGCAGCAGTGAGCACAAGAAGTTACCATGCTAACCAGATACATTGCACACTGAATGTAGCTAGAAGCAAGAAACATATGAGCTTAATTTGTACTAATTATTAGGACATAATCAGACTTGAGCGTCAGGGTAAGTGCAGACAGGTGCATAGGTCTTTCAATACTAGCACATTTAATGGTCATTTGCGGCAGTGGTTGTACAGTACATAATTTTTCTAATATTCAATAATAAACGTACATATATTTTCTTAGTGCTTAGACTGTGATTTCTGCAATACAAAACATAATATAAAGAAGAATTTTTAGAGCCAGGTAACCCCTGCTGTCATTAACAGTTAAAAAGCATGTCATGGGAAAAGTATTTCAAAAGCAGCGCATCCATTATATATTTCTGTTTATACCTTAAATTCTTATCATCGTTGGAACTTCTGTATCATGACTTCATGTCATTTGCTCAGTTCATGAGAGTGGAATATTTAAATGTGTAAATGGAAAGCACCGTTTACTTCATCTCTTCAATCACACAGTAAAAGAGTGCATATGACCCAGAGTGAGCGGCACTGCACATGCAATTATGATGTTTATAATTTATAAATCCTGATACATGCACGGCAGTGTTTATAGATCAGGCCTATCTCATTATGTGTAAGGCTGAAGTTCAGAACGACTGACTGGGGATGCCTTTTCTTTGCATTGTAACTTGTAAGCCTTCAAGTTTTTGTTTTATTTTTTTTATGGCTTTCAAAAAGTGGCGGGGACAAAATCAACTTTTATAAAAAAAAGTGTTGGCCCCCAAATAACACCTATGCTCTATTGTATACTATTGCAAATATGCTTAAAACACCCCAAACCTCATATAAAAAACTGTAAATTAATTAATTGTGCTCAAAACACATGCTTTTAATTTGTGACTATGAAGTATTGTGAGTTGTAAGTATTAAAAGTAAGAAAAGTCTCACAAGAAATACAAATAATAATTGATAGGAAGAACCTGAGCAGGATTAAGAATGTTACAATTAGATATAAGTGTAGACTATAGAGGGTCCATGTTAAAACTAAAGAAACATCCAGATGAACGTTACAAACTAATTTGAAGTGATTACATAAAAAGGTGTAGTGGGCTAATTTGGACTGCAGGTGGCCTTAACTGCTACACATTTACCTATATCTTTTAGCCACTATATTATTCACACATCTACATGTAAGGAGTTAATATGTAGGGTATAGCTCACCCAAAAATAAAAAGTCACTCATTACTTACTCACTTTGTTTTTTTGTTTTGTTTGTTTTTTCAGAACATGAAATGTTTGTCTATATATAATGAATTAATTAAAAAAAAAGACGGTAAAGTATCACAAAATTGTCCCATGACATGTTGGTCATATAATCCAATTGTTCTGGGAGTGTATGAGAGGGTTTGGTGAAAAACAAACCGAAATTTAGTTTAACAAAATTATTTATTTAATGAAAGTCCTAACCTTGGCCGTCAGTCTTCTGTGCATGACTGCACCTTCATGAAACTCTATTAATGCAGCAGTTCACTCCTACTCACCCAGAAAAAGCACACAAGTTGTTAGAAATCAAGATGAATAAAAATGCAACATGAAATACAACACCGAGCAATAATAGAATGTAAATAATAAAGTTGAATATCTACATTTCTCTACAAATATCTATGAAAGTACATGGATTGTATTTTGTGTTGTTTTTATTCATCTTGATTTCTCACAACTTGTTTGCTTTTTCTCTGAGTAAACTGCTGCGCTAATAGAGGCTCATTAATCTGCAGCCGTGTGCAGAGACCAAAGGCCGAGGCCAAGCTTTTCTTTAAATAATACATTCAATTTTGGTTTATTTTTCACTAAACCCTGTCATATAACCCAGAATACTTGGAATATACCATATGTGCTGCATGGGACCATTCTGTGATACTCGTGTCTTTTTTTAAAAGCTTGATGCTGATCGCTATCCACTGCCATTACATGGACAATCGTGAGCGGGACATTTTTTTTATTCTCCTTTTGTGGTCAAAGAAAGAAAGAAGGGCATATGGCATTAGAACAAACCCAGTGTGAGTAAATGATGATTTAAAATTCTGTTTTTTTCTTTCTTCTTCTGGTGAACCAATAATTTAAGGTGTGCTTAATAGGATCACTTCCCCTATATGTAATCCATCTTATATCATGACAAATAAAATAGTGAACCCGGATATATTTGAAAACCTGGTCTTTTTTAAAATCCTTTAAAGGTAAACTCATTAAGTTGTTGCTTACAATTATCGGACTCTTATTCTTCTCTAAAGAACAATGGTTTCCGACTCTTTCAGGACACATATTGTTTGTTTACTGACTGCTGCTGCAGTGATGTTGGTTGCATGCTCATTTAATCTGAATCAGTGAATCATTCCATTTCAACATGTATAACATTCAAGTTGTATTTGTTGTTATATTGTTTGGTTTGCTTGTTTTGTCCATCTACTTAATGTTTGTGCTTTGTAAAACACGGAAAGCAGTGCTTGAAAGCACTATATACAGTACAGTATATATAGCAAACATAGTAATAGCAGTAGTCAGTTTCTTCACAGCAAGTCGTGAGATCTCAACACAGTGGTGCCGGTGAGCGGCGCTCCACACACAATACAACAGCCTTTTCTGTCTGGACTCCATCTCTTCTGAGTGATGGTGATATTCTCAAATTCACTGCTCATTTCTTTAACTGTAAAACTGTGTTTAATTAGCAAAAATTATTGCAGTTTTAACTTTACAACATTTCTGTGCTCATTAAAGAATTAGGCAAATGTATGACATTTTAAAAGATCATCTGTCTTGAACATATAGGACAAATACATACTGTTTACATTCAGATGTTTTTCCTTTGCTCTGATAGTCCATAATGCACTGTATCAGATGATGATTTTCATCCAGCATCTATGCAAGAACAAACAAGCAAAGAAGGTCCATGATGTAACTGCTACTACGATTACACAATAATAGTAAAATAACAGCAAATTGATATTAAGTGGCAAATCTATGGATAGTAAGTGCACTTTACAAAGATAAATGACCTGATACAGAAAGAACAGGCACTGCTAAACCAATCGATATTACTTTGATTTTACTTTTACTGACATCACCCTTTGTACTTCGACTGATATTATTTGCAGTTATATTAAATATAATATTACTGGCATTAACTGATTCACTATAGACAGGCCATCACTATGATAATAATGGCTCTGTAATTGATATTTTAATGGACTCCCGTCAACCAAGCGCAAATAATCACTCGTGTTTACTGTACTTCAAATCTCACAACACAACTTTCTCATGTGAACTTGAACAATTAGCTACTAATAATGTGGTATTGTGTGTGTGTGTGTGTGTGTTTAAGTAGTGGTAGTATCAAAGCATACATTTTATGTCCAATCATTAATTCTTGTCAAATAAATTGAATGGAACAACAGAATAACAACATGCTCAGATTGGATTAGGGTACATAAGCAGTAAACGTGTATTATCGGAGACGTAATAAGCTGTGTTAGGCTATGTATCCGTCAGTGTGTTGAGGAGTGAAGCACTGTCAGCCGCGGACGCGTAGCATTCACAATCAAATACAGTCAAACAAAGCAGCCTACCTTCTGTATGGTTTGTTGTGTGATCTCTCCTTTCCCCCTCGGACGCACAGCTGAAAATGTAACAGACATTTTCCAGTGTGAAATGATAATAAATGTTTTATCTGTATATATTATGCCGCGTTGAGGCGCTTATAGACTCCGGACGAGTATTGCTGACTGATGAAACATAGGGGAGTCTCAGCGTCTAAATATGACAGTTTTGCAAAAAAAATAACCATTAAGATAACTGGCCGATGTAAAGCACAAAAGAGTGTTGAATTTTGGGACAGCTAGCTAGAGATGCATTTTTTTTAGCTCATTCATAAATAAATGTATTATGTAAGGGACCACCTGCTCCTCCAGTCTCTCTTGGTATAATCTGTTCAACGCTATTGGGCCGCTGCTGTCCGTAACGCGTCATTCTCCCACGCACACGACGGACAAAGCCACACAGTGACATTATAATTGCTTTTGTCCCCCCCTGGCTGTTATATATGTTTCTTGTTATATTTCCTGATTTTATGCTGTATTGTATTTACATTTGATATGTTAATAATAATAATAATTAAAAAAAAAAGCCACACAGTGATGATCGTGAACAAAGGGAACCGGCTCACGTCTGAGGTCAGAAAATAATGTTGTTGTTTTTCCGCCACACTGCTCGGTCAAGCGCGCTGACAGGGAATGTTGTGTTGATGTGACCAACGGGAGAATGTCATTCACCCCTTACGATAAACAACCATGGCTTTACTTAAAAAATTTTTTTTAAATAAATAAAAATAATAAATAAAAAACATGGTTACTATTGTTAGACCTTGGTAATCACAAATTAACCATGGGTTTGCTGCACTAGTTTAACCATTTTACCAGTTAACAAATGGTAAAATGTTAAAGGTTTAAAATGGTTACATTTACCATTTAACCCATGGTATTAGTAAAACTGCGGTTATACAAATGTTAACCAATACGCAAAAAAAAAAAATAAAAAAAATAGATTAACCACGGTTTTATTATAGTAAAAGTGTAGTATTTTTCGTAAGGGACATACACATGAACCCAACATTCAGACAGAGTAGTGTTTTTTAAATAATGTAACATTTCTTAAGCATGTAATAATGTTTGATGTTTTTTTTTTTAATTGTTTCATGCTGATTGTAAAAAAATTGTATTATAAAAAATTGTAATGTCTAGTACAAATACATTAAATAAATTAGTTTGGTTGAATGATAAAAGCGGGACAAAGTGAATGCATGTCAACCAGCTACGCATTTCTGCTAAAATCTTTCTGTCATATCTCTAATATCTGTTGAACAACAAGTCATTTTTAAAATTATGATAAAGTATATTATGTACAGTGACAAGTTTATGTTTGTGAAGCATTTTAAAATATCAAAATTTCTAAATAGATGAAGATCAGACAACATTTTCACAGAAATGCATGTCACAATGAAAGACAAAAATAATTTGATTAATAACACACAAACAGCTGTAGTTTTCAAAATGTTATTGAAGAAACTGAGTGATGCCCTGCTCTTTAAGTAAAGGCACACAAAGTACTGACAAATCTGTTCGTCTCAAGAAAGGTTGGTTAGTGTCAAACATGCCTTGATCCTAACAGCTTGCAAATGCATTCCAGAGAATTACAAAGATGGAAAACGCAACAAACACTTTGCTGTCTGCAAATGTAGAAAATTCTGGACTGTTACTCTCCCAAGAAGCGGGCATCCTGCAAAGATCATTCTAAGAACACAACAAGCCATACTGAAAGAGGTAGAGAACTTGTGGATAACAGCAAGTCTCTCAGAAAACTCTAGACTTAAACTACAGAAGTCTTTGTTCATGTGTCCACTAGATGCCAGCATCTGCATCGCCAAATTGCGTAACACAGTTCATTGGTTGTGGTGGTTTCCCCAATACAGCAGCATTGATGGCTGAAAGGGAGTGTCTCGCTCAAGTCTCCAACCCTGTTACAGCTGAATGGCTGAATGACGTGTTCTCAGCACAAACCTGAGTGAGTGCATGCATGCCGCCATCTATATACTTGTATGTGCGTGGAGTGGCTTGACATGCAAATCCCACTTGCCAATAATTATTGGCTATTTCTTGTACTACTCACAGGTGATTGGTCTCCCAATACGTCAGTATCAGCATTTCATCTCTTTTCCTTCCTTCAGGGGACAAGGGTTGTATACGAAAACAAGACTATTTCCAGTATCAACAAGGGCATACACATTGACAGATGAAATGAAACCAAATAAATACATGATTATGATAATAACTGATTTGTCTTTAACCCTCAGGGGTCCGGGGGTGTTTTGGGGCCCCTAGAAAAGTTTTGACATGCCCTGACATTTGTGCTTTTTTTTAGTTGCTTATACACTCTAAAAAATGCTGGGTTAAATATAACCCAGTGCTGGGTAAAATAGGGACAAACCCAGCAATTGGGCTGTTTTGACCCAGCGGTTGGGTTAAATGTTTAACCCAACCTTCTGGGTAGTAACCCAACCACTGGGTCAAAACAACCCAATTGCTGGGGTTGTCCCTATTTTACCCAGCACTGGGTTGTATTTAACCCAGCATTTTTTAGAGTGTAAACATATAAATGGCTAAAGTTTAAGAACACTGTAATCAGCACAAACTGGGCTACAATAATATGTGAGCAGCATGTATGTACCTGATTGTGTTTTTGAGAAAACAACGTTTATGCGTGGTTAGTGAAAAACTAAAATTTTAAAGTTGCTGAAATAAGGCCATAAAACACATACAGAACATTTGTTCACAAGTCTTTTGAGAACTGGGTCTTGAAATCTAGAGTTTTTGCTTCAAAATGATGTCAAAATCATCCTGTTCACTCATTCACAGAAAACAATAAATTCATTTAAATTTTCTAAGGCACTTTTTGTGTAGAAAAGGCATATGCGAGTAGGCGTGAATGATCATGAATAATGCTGTGATTCACACCTGAGAAGACAAAGACCCACATAATGAGCCTTTCAGTCAGGTGTGTGACTGAGA